TTACTGGTGACAGCCATTCTGACGAGTGTGAGGGGATATGCATTGTGGTTTTGTTTCCCTGACGATTAGCGATACTGAGCATCTTTGCAGTATCTGCTGACCATCTGTATGTCCTTTTGGAAGAAATGTGCATTCAAGTCCTCTGCCCATTTTTAAAATTGAATTGTTTTTTGGTGTTAAGTTGTCTGAGTTCTTTATATACTTTGGATATTAACCCCATAATTGAGTATATCATTGTTGAATATCTTCTCCCATTCAGTAGGTTGTTCTTACGTTTTGTTGGTTTTGTTATTCAAGAACATTTTAGTTTGATGTAGTCCCATTTGTTTTTCTTTTGTTCCCCCTTGTTCAAGGAGCTATATCAAAAAAGATATTAAGACTAACGTCAAAGGGTTCACTGCCTATGTTTCTTCTAGGTGTTTCATGGTTTCAGGTCTAACATTTAAGTCTTTAATCCACTTTGGGTTTATTTTTATGTATGGTCTAAGAAAGTGGTCCAATTTCATTGCGTTGCATTTATCTGCCCAGTTCGCCACATACTGAAGAGACTGTCTTTACCGCGTTATGTATCCTTGCCTCCTTTGTCGCAGATTAATTGGCCATGTAAGTGGGGATTTCTGGGATCTTTATTCTATTCCATTGATCTGTTTTTTAAATGCCAGTACTACACTGCTTTGATTATTGTACCTTTATGATATAATTTGATATCAGGATGTGTTCTTCTCAAGATTTTTTTTGGCTATTTGGGGTCTTTTGTGGTTCCATATACATTTTAGGATTAGTTGTTCTAATTCTGAGAAGAATGTCTTTGGTATTTTAATAGGGATTGCACTGAATCTGTATGCTACATTTTAACACTATTAATTCTTCTATTCTATGAGCAAGGTATATCCTTCCATTTATTTGTATCCTGTTCAATTTTTTCTTCAGTGTCTTACAGTTTTCAGAGTACAGGTCTTTCACCTCTTTGGTTAAATTTATTCCTAGGTGTTTTACACTTTTTGATGCAATTGTAAATTTGCAATTCTACAATTTCTGTCTTCATTTCTTCCGATTGTTCATTACTGATGTATAGAAATGCAACAATTTCTGTACAGTGACTCTGTCCTGCAACTACATGAAGTCACTTGTTAGTTCAAGTAGTTCATTGGTGAGGTCTTGAGGGTTTTCTATAATAGTATCATGTCACCTGCAAATTCTGAGAGTTCTGTTTCTGCCTTTCTAATTTGGGTGCCTTTTGTTTTTTTGTCTGACTGCTGGGGCGAGGGCTCGCACTGCTATGCTGAACAGAAGGAACAATGGGCACCCCTGCCTGTTCCTGATCTTAGAGGAAAGGCTTTCGGCTTCTCACCACTGAGTATGTTACCTGCAGGTTCTATGGCCTGTATTGAGAGAGAGATACAGTGGGGCCTTGACTTACGAGTGTCCCGACTAACGAGTTTTTTGAGATACCAGCTGTCTCTCGGCTGATTTTTTGCATTGAGTTGATAGAGTAATTTGAGTTAACGAGCTCCTTAACGAGCTCGGTCTCGGAACGAATTAAACTAGTAAGTCAAGGCCCCACTGTATACCTTCTCTACCCGCTTTGTTGAGGGTTTTTATCATTTGTTAATGTGATGTGACGCATTGATTGGTTTATGGATGGTCAACCATCCTTGGGATGAATCCCACTTGGTCATGATGTATAATCCTTTCAATGTGCTGCTAAATCTGGCTTGACAATTTTTCTAGGTTTATAGAGGGTACTGACCTGCCATTTTCTTTTTTTGTAATGTCTTTATCTGGTTTTGGTATCAGAGTAATCTGGCCTGTAAAATGAGTTTGTAAGCATCCCTAACTCTTCAATTTTTTTGAAATAGTTTAACAAGGATAAGTATTAATTTTCTTCTTTGAACACTTGGTAGAATTCACCTGCTCCTGAACTTTTATTTGTTGGGAGTTTTATTATTGCTTCAATTTCATTGCTAGTACTTCACAGCTTGTTTACATTTTGTATTTTTCTTCCTGGTTCAGTCTTAGAAAGTTACATGCTTCTGGAAATTGACCCATTTCCTTTAGATTATCGTATTTGCTGGCATATTGTTGTTCCTAGTATTCTTTAACGATTCTTTGTATTTCTGTGGTATCAGTTAGAACTTTTTTCATTCATGTGGGCTCTTCTGGCTGATAAGCAGAAACTTAGTTCTGTGAGTTCTGGAGGCTGGAAGTCTGAGGCCTAGGGTGACAGCAGAGTCAAGTTCTGCTGAGAACCCACATCCCGGCTCTCTTTGCTGTATTGATCTTTTCTACTGTTTTTGTTTCCTTTCACTCTCATCTTAACTATTTCCTTCCTCCTACTTGGGGTTTTGTTTGTTCTTTTTCTGATTTCTTTAGGTGTAGAGTTTAGATGGTTTGAGAGTTCTCTTGTTCCTTGAGGGAGGCCTGTACAGCTATGAACTTCTCTCCTGGAACTACTTTCGGTGCATACCACAAATTTTGAAAAGTTGTGATAAAATATTCTATTAAATCAATCTCATCTAATAATGACATTTAAGGTCATTATTTCATTTATTTTCTGTCTGGATAATTATCCATTGATGTGAATGGGGTATTAAAATCCCTACTATTATTGTATTACTGTTAATTTCTCCCTTTATGTCCATTAATAATTGCTTTATATAGGGTGTCCCAAAATTCACGCAAGATTTGAATTTTGCGTGAGCATTAACAACAACAAAAAAATAAAAGCCTAATTTTACTTGTTTATTGAATCAGATTCTAATATCTGTTGCCCTTTGATTTCAATCCCTTCAATTTGCTAAGCATTACCAAGTACCAATTATGGCCCAGGAGCAGGGACAATGAAGACCAATGAAGACCACGGCTTTGTGTATGTGCTGGAGGCCATTTACCCGATGTGCTATTCCATACATAACCCTATACTGTATACTTTATGAATCAATAAAAAATTTACAATTTTTAATTATAAACCTGTGTTTTCTATCAAAATTACTTCTTGCGTGAATTTTGGGACACCCTATATACTTTAGATGCACAGATATTTATAATTATTATATCCTCTTCTTGGATTACTCCTTTACAATTATGTAATGTCTTCTTTCTCTCTTTTTTCATCTATTTAATCTGACATAAATATTGTTACTTCAGCTTTCTTTTCATTTTTGTTTGCATGGGATATCTTTTTCCATCCCTTTACATTCAGTCTGTCTTTGAAATTGAAGTAAGCAGCATCAGCCACCCTATGTCTTTTTATTGGAGCATTTAGTCCATTTACATCCTATATAATAAGGAGCTAATATGCTAATTAGACCAGACGGCAGAATGACCTTTCGGAATGACCAGTGGGCAGGGCTGTGGGGCTGAGAGGCAGCCGGGGCCGCGAGGGCCGAGCCCCTTGCACAAATTTTGTGCATCGGGCCTCTAGTTTAAAATAACTACTGATAAGCATGTACTTAGGCCATTTTGTTCAGTTTTGTACTTGTCTTTTATTCCTTTCTTCTTCTCTTGGTCTCTTCCCTTGTGCTTTACTGGTTTGACATTGCAACCTAGTTTAGGTTTCTTTTTGTATACATCTTTTGTAGGTTTTTCGTTAACCATGACATTTATGTATAGCAGTCTATTTTAAACTGATAGGTGTTAAAGTACAGAGGGTGAGGCAAAAGTAGGTTTACAATTGTGGGTATGTGAAAGAGTTTATTCTTGTATTATTATGTATTAAAATAGAGGCCTGGTGCACAAAATTCGTGCATGGGAGGGGGAGAGGGTGTCCCTCAGCCCAGCCTGCACCCTCTCCAATCTGGGACCCCTCAGGGGATGTCCGACTGCCGGTTTAGGCCTGATCCCGCAGGGACTCTTGGCTTCTAACCACTAGCCTGCCTGCATGATTACCCCTAACCATTTCTGCCTGCCCGCCTGATTGATGTCTAACTGCTCCCCTGCCAGCATGATCATCCCCAACTGCCTTCCCCTGTGGGGCTGAGGGGTCTGGGGATAGGCTGGATGCTGCAGGGGACTGGGTGAGGTGGGACTGAGGCTGGATGAGGCAGGGCTGAGGGGACTGGGTGCTGCCATCTTGTGAGGGTGTGGCAGTCAATTAGCATATTCCCTCTTTATCAGGTAGGATATTTTATTTTTATACTAGAGGCCCAGTGCATAGATTCATGTACCGGTGGGGTCCCTCGGCCTGGCTTGTGGGGATTGGGCCGAAACTGGCTCTTTGACATCCCCTAAGGAATCCCAGATTGTGAGAGGACGGTTCTTGGGTGATGCACCCTGGGATCAGGCTCCCTCCTCTCTAGTTCCAGTGTGTCCAGTGTGTCACCTGAGAACCGCAGCTGCCAAGTCTCCACAGCTCAGCAGCTCCTGCGTTGACTCTCTGCCCCCTGGTGGTCAGTGTGCATCATAGCCACCAGTTGGACAGCCACTTAGGCTTTTATATTTATAGATGAACAATGATAAACCTACTTTTGCTCCACCCTACATATATTCTATAAGTACATTCTTACACCCCCTCCATGCTTTATGTTCTTGATGTCCTATTTTAAATTTTTTTGTGTTTGTGTATCTCCAAACTACTTATTGAAGTTTAATATTTTTTCTTTCATCCTTGGCCATAGCTTTTGTCTGATTTGCTGTATTTATTGAATATCTGCCTATACGGAGGTTTTCGGTATTTGATATTTCTGGTTATGGTCTTTCCTCTTCTATTTAAAGACCCTTTAACGTTTCTTGTAAAGCTGGTTTAATGGCGATGAAGTACTTTTGTGTTTGCCTGTCTGGGAAATTCTTTTTTCTCTCAATTGATTCTGAATAACCTTACTGGGTAAATGATTCTAGGTTGTAGGTTCCTTTCTTGTTTTTCTCTTGCTTCTTTCAAGATTGTGTCTATAACTTTTGTCATTTTAACTACACTGTGTGTTTGTGTGCGTCTTTTGGGCTCATCTTGTTTGGAACTCACTGTGCTTCCTAAGCCTGGATACCCGTTTCCTTTCCCAGATTAGAAAAGTTTTCAGCCATTGCTTTTTAAAATTTGGAACGATACAGAGAAGATTAGCATGGCCCCTGTGCAAGGATGACATGCAAATTCGTGACGTGTTCCATATTAAAATAAATAAAGTTTATGTTCCTTTCTCACTCTAGGATCCCTATAATGCAAACACTCGAGCACTTGATGTTTTCAGAGGTTCCTTAAACTATCCTTGTTTAGTTAATTATCTCTGTTTTCTTGACTTTCTATGTTGGCTTCTATGCGTTAGAGAAAACTGCCATCTCCTGCAGCCTTCGGGAAGGGCTCTGTGCAGCAGTGTGCTGTGTGTGGACTGTGCCTGCAGGGTGGTTTCAGCAGGTCGGCAGGAGCTGAGTGGCTGCTTAAGGTCTGGGGCTGTGGCCTGCTGAGCTGGAGCACCGCCAGAGGGGGAGGCCAGGTGCGTGCAATAATGGCCTGTTGATCCTGCCTGCTCCTTTGTTCAGGCAGAAATAGCTCCAGCCATGTGTCCAGGAACACAGGGCAGAGACCTTGCAGGCAGGACAGAGCCCTACCCACCGTATGGAGGTGGAGAGAGGAAACGTCAATGATGGTGCTCACCGGCCCCTCTGGCCCCGGAGAACTCCTCGGCTCCCTACTCTTTATCTGGTTTGCTGTACTGAGTGGTCCCCTGTAGGAGAGACCGCTGTGCAGGCGTTAAGTGCCTGGTAGTTTTGGAAAGCCACGTGTAGCCAAGCAGGCACTACAGCACCTGGGGCACTAGGCCTGCCTGCAGAGCAGCTCGCTGGAGAAAGGCCAGGTGGGTGTGTTGGCCCTGCTGCTTGCTCCTACTTTAAACCTGAACGCAGAGCATTAAAGAGCTGTTGGTGGCAACAGGGTGCTGCTTTTATGAGAAGTCTCTGGAGCTGTAGGATCCCGTTAATAACCCAGGAGCAGGGGGCGCAGTGGTCTAACCCAGTGCTGCCAGAATCTGGAAGATGCTAATATCAGGTTAATAAAATGAAAGAACAAGACCTCAATTTCAAGATCAGGGGCTTAGGTAGAACCACCTCCAGCAAGGAGCATACATACCCAAATCCAGGACCAATGCCAAGTTATTGCTTCTCTCACCTTTAAGTAGGCCATTGTGAGGAGTGGCAATAAGGTAAATGGCACCAAATAGAGGAGGGCAGGCTGCGCTGCTCGGTGAATGCGAGATGCCACAGTAGCAGTGAGCAGACCTATGAGGATAGAGAAGCATTTGAGAGTAAGGGCAACGGGCCAGCCCTGAGAGGAGACTGTCACATTAGATACATACAACCTCTAGTGCCAAGACACATCCAGGTAACAGGCACACCCATCCAATGGGTAGGTTATAAATGTCTAGTTCGAGCAGTTAAAAGAAACATGGACAGCACAGTTTAAAAAGAAATCCTCCAATTCCAAGGACCTGTGACCAACTCCCACTTCAGCCCTCAGTGTGCCTGGCCTTCCTCTGTCTACTGTCAAGTTTCAACTCTGCTACTTCCAAACCTTTGTAACCTTGGTTAAGACATTTCACCGGGTGGAGCCTCCCCGCATTTGTCTGATGGGGGTAACACCTTTGCTCTGTCCCCTCAGAGTTTGAGACGGAAATGAACCATGTATATGAAAGTGCAATGGAATTAGTGAAGTCCTGCTGTAGGAGGCACTGCAGTGGCAGATGGGTTACCACTATTCCTACCTGCCGATAGGTGAGCTGGCTGGAGAAAGGCTAGCCTAGGGAGAGTCTGCCGTGACAGAACAGATGAAGGGAAATATACACGACTTCAGTAAGCTTGAGATTTGTAATGAAGCATGTAGACTGACCCATGACCACTGTGTGGTAGGTGTTCTTGGCTTTGAGGCCAAACTGTACTCTTACTACGATGTTCTTCAGACAGCGAACTGGGCTGGCCAGCAGTCAGCACCTATCACCTCATGGGCTTGAGGGGCATTTTCCTGGGTGGTTAGCTATTAACAGCAAGCAGCTGCTGCTCTCCTTCTATCCCGGGTCTGCAGCTAGAAGACCTGGTTTAATTCCAGGGGCGAGGACAGCCTGAGAGGGGATCCAAATGCAGTGTCTGATTCTCTCTTACCTACGAAGTATCCGATGAGGGTGCAGTGAAAGTAGGAGACCTTCTGCATGCGTCCAGAGATGTTGGCGGGTCCAGAGGCGCCGCAGGAGTCACCGTTGGCTTGTTTTTTGTAGTTGTCATAACGAAGGACAAAGCACAACAGGAGTCCGGGCATCACGATGTCTCCAATGCCCAACATGGAGAAGTGGCTGCCAGTGGAGCTGGAAGGCAGTGTCACAGGTCAGGGATGCCAGGCTGTAAAACCTCCTCTCCTCCTCGGGGCAGTGTGTCAGCTTTTTAAGGAGTCAGAGAACTTATCTCAATGGTAGAGGGGAATCTCTACGGGTTGCATGCGAGGTTTTAAGAGTTTCGAGATTAAAAGCCACAAGAGCACTAGCAACAGAAAGAAGTCTTCCCCCCGCCCCTCGGTGCTGCGGAGAGCACCTTGTAGATGACTGCACAAGCACTGCCATCTCTAGAAATGCCAAGCAATTCACTCTTTGTCACACCTTCACTGCTGAGACATCAAATAAGCACCCAACTACTACCAGACACAGGAGATTAAAGCAACACATTAATTTTTTTCAGGATTCTATTACCAGGAACTGTGAAATTTAAGCATTAGAACGTATTTTTACAAATGTCTTAGAAGTAAAAAGATCCAGAATCTCCTGTTAATATATTTTGAAGTTGGCTGGAGAGAATTAATAGTAGTAACCTATGGTTACTTGATAACATTAATCAATAATAAAAAGCAGCACCTGTATCCCTTAGTGATAAACCTTTGCAAGTCAACATTCTCTTCCTTTTGTAAGATGGAGATGCTGACTCACCCTTTCTAGTCTAGGATTAGACTGTGGATGACAAAGACCGACTAATCAAGGCACCGGAAGGCCGTGCGCTGGCTGTCATGAGCCTGGCGTGTCAGTCCTACCTCGGGAAAACCAGTTTTCCAGGCAGAGACAGGCGAGGAACGTCGCGCCCAACATTGGGCCCCAAGTGCAGCTTCCGGGAAAGCACATCGAGGGGATTGTCAGCCGGCTGGGTGGCCACCTTCACCATGACGTTGCTATTGAAGATGTAGGCGGAGAAAAACACCTGGCGAGGAGAGAGTCTCCTTTAAGAGAGGGAGCTAGAGCAACCTGTCCTTTTTGTTCGTAAGAGCAGAGCTGCACAAAACTGTGACAGCAAGCCTTTGTTTTTGTTAATCCTCACCCGGGGGTATTTTTTCATTGATTTTTAGGAAGAGACACAGAGAGAGAAACAATGATGTGAGAGAGACATTGATTGGTTGCCTCCCGCACATCCCCAACATCAGGGCTGGCAATGGAGCCTGCAACCAAGGTGCCTGCCCTTGACCGGAATCGAACCGGGACCCTTCACTTCTCGGGCTGATGCTCTATCCACTGAGCCGAATCGGCGAGGGCCATCAAGCTTTTGTGACTGCATGCTCTGAGGCAGAGAACTCTGCCTACTCCTCTTCCACCACAACTATCATGTACTGTCTTCTGTAACACATGTCAACCAGCTGCCGGCTCACCTTGTAACACAGACAGCGCAGGACTGGAGGGAGTGGCCGGACAGGAGGTACCCCGGCCGGCCAGACTTTAGATGCTTGACCCCAATTAAACACAAAAGAGAGCAGTGGCTTCAACAGACACTCACCCAAAAGACGTCATAGATTAGGAGCCCTGAGAGAAGCAGGCAGGAGACCTTGAGGCTGGGCAGGCGGACGAAGGCGATCATGGCGACACAGAGACCCATGGCCAGGGCTGGGGAGGAGACAGCAGTCAGTGTGCAGCACAGGCCCATCCCCTTTCCACAAGCTATTCGCTTGTAAATCCAACAAAGTTGTAAGTCCCCTCGAAAATCAGGCAGCCTTCAGCTCTGGTCTAAGAATGTACACCCTACAGTGCAAAAGTGCCCACGTCAGCCTGTTGTGACCTGCTGGTATTTGGGGAAATCCCTTCGCTCACACTATAGGACCCAGGAGGTTCTGTTTTGATGAAGCTCCAAGACAGGCTCAGCCTGGGCCTTCTGGCCTCTGCCTCCCCCATCGCTGCAGATTCATCATCCTTGCTCCTTGCTTTCAAGTTAACTCACCCTCTATGGCATCCCCTTTCATTTACTCAGGGACACTGTTCCAGCAATTCATTCCTCTGTCCTTGTACCTCTCAAAATCTGGTACATGATGTATCTTTTTAAAATTCTCTCTCCTCACAACTAAAATGTAAGGTCCTCGAGGGCAAGGCTCCCATCCTATCCCTGGAGTCTAGGACGGCCTGGCAGATGAATGGTCTCTCCTTGCCTCCAGTTCTCTCCCTCCGGTCTTCTGAGAACCCAGGCCTGATTCCTACAGATTCCTGTGGGTTCTCCCTGAAGTGGGTGCCAGGAGAACTGCTCGGCCAGGCTGCAGGAAGGAACAGGAGGGCGCTCTCCACTGCGCAGCCCTTGTCCTCAGTGTGCACTTCCTGCTGCTCCGAGGCCACTCGAATGTGATGCACTGCTCAACACACACCATGTTCTTTCATGCTCTGCCCACAGGGCCCTGACCTGGGCTTCTTCCCTGGAAAATTCATCCTCGTTCTTAAGAGGCCAGGAGAGAAAGCCTTCCTGACCTGGCCAGATGAAGTTGCTGTTTTCTTTGCGTCCATTTACAATAGTATCATTATTTATACACACGTAGTTTATTCCCTAAGCTGTGTGCCTAGTAACAGAAACCATGGCTTATCTGTTCCTCTGGATCCCCAGCAACTGACAGTGTAGACATTCAACAAATATTTGCTGAATAAATGAAAAATTATGTTCTATCAGCTTCAAATTCCAAATTAGTCTAAGAAAAGTGAGTAAAGCCATATTACAGGTGTGTATCATTTAAAAAAATTCGGTAAATTGTCAATGTATGTAACAAAGTGGGCAGATACAGGATAGCTGAGAGGCATTATGGGTTTGGTCGCAGACTAGACTACCACAATAAAGTGAGTATCACAACAAAGGGTCATACTCTCTTTGCTAGCGGAGGGTCCGCCTTCGGTTTGTGAAAAATG